GTATCCTTCCCTTCAAGGCTCAGCGGTCCAAGATTATCTTCTGTGTCTGTGTCAATTGTTTTCCCTTGTCTTTGATGAAGAGGGTCTGTCCAGTCCTTCTGCCTAGTCCGCCATCTTGCCGGAACTCCTCCAGAGTACATTTTAATAACCCCTTTGGACTTCTCTATTTCTAATAGAGCATATATATTGGTCAGCATAGGCTGGATTAGGCTATAGTAACAACTTCTCTAACCTCAGTAGTTTAAAGCTACAGAATTTATCTCAGGCCCATACTTCCTGTCTGTCCATCATATGTGGTCTGGAACTTTGTTCTGTGTGGTCTTCATTCCAGGACCCAGACCTCTGGATCACCCACCATCTAGAGCTTACAGATGCTAGAGCAAAGTTGAGATGAATAGCTACATTGCACATTGTCTTTGAAAGCTTCCACCAGAAGTAAACTTATGTCACTTTTATTCTTACGGCACTGCCCAAAGCAAGTCACGTGTCCATATCTGACTTCAAGGGGGCAGGAAGTACAATCTCACTAGGTACCTAGACATAGGAAGACACAGGAGTATTTGGTGAATTTCTCTTAGGACTATCCATCATGTAGGATTGTAAATTACTACTACATGTGTGCAGGACAATGTGCAAATATATCAAAAGGTGGAGAAATATGTCTATGATTTGATTTAGTATGTTTCGTTTTAGGAAATTAGTGAACAGATATACAAAGGTATATATCCACTAATTCATTCCTTAAATATATTTTATTGAGTGGCTACTATGTGCCAGGAGCTTGCATTATCCAAATCTTCATAGAGCTTGCCATATGGGGTGAGGAGTAGGAAGAAAGAGAGTACCAGAGATAATTACAATGAAAGAAGTTAAGTGCTATGATGAGGAAATATAGAGTACTATGAAAGCATGTGCTGTAATCAACTCCATGGCAATAAGTTTCTTTTGTTTGTTTTTTATGAAACATGTCAGAAAATTTCTCCTAATTTATTTTTCAGTTGACTGATTCTCACTTCATCTATGTATTGCTGAACTCTTCCATTAAAATTTTACTTTTGGTTTTTGTACTTTTTCATTTTGAAAATATTTTTTTTTTCTTCCCAAGTATGCTAAGTTACTTTTAGTAGTTTCTATCTGTGAAGATATATTCAGGCTTATCTTTTATGAATAAATTGTTTTCTTAAATTTGATATCATTTTGAGGGCCTTTCGCTAATGAAAATTAAAAAATCACATAGCTATAATTTACTCTATTAAAACTTGACAGCATTCAGGAAAGAAAACATGATCCAGGTTGTGTACACAAATTGCAACATTTTAAAATTTGCATATAGTGAGTATTCTAGGCTGATACACAGAAATTATAAGATTAGAGTTAGCATGTTGGGATTATGACTGATTTTTAAGAGTTTTCTAAACTGCCTGTAATGTTATTTGATAGTTTTTAAAATTTAAGCAATGAGACAGACCAACTCAACTTTTAAATAAAATAATAGGAATGATATTAATAGGGAATAATTTACTAATACGATGGAGAGTTTTAAAAGACTTTCACTGTTTTTTTTTTTTTTTTTTTACCAGAAAGCTCTGATTTACGAACATAAGGCAAATCAAAATTGTTAGAAATACGCCTATCCTTTCCATCTTCATGATAGAAAGTTTGTTAAGTGTTTTCATATGGTACATGGTATACAAAGAATAATTTTGCAAACATTTCCTTCTCTTCTTTTTCATTTCTGCATTAGCTTGGCTGATTTTACTTCCAGAGTCAGGAGTAGAGTTAAGCATGCACAGTTTTGTTTTGTTTTGGTTTTTCTTTTTTTAAATTAGGAAGGAGGAGGAAAGTAAGAGAGGAGCACACTAACTTTCCCTTTGAGGGCATATTTTCTTTTGGCAACTACTCTATTTCTCAAGAAGAAAAACAGACTTCCAGGACCAAACATATGTAGCATAAAAAATGGTTACACACTTCACAATACTTTCTTAAAATTTTCTTTTAGGAAGAAGAAAGGCGTATGGCATCTGTTGTAGCCAAAAAAGAGGAAGAGAAGAAGCGGGAAAGTCATAAACAATCTTTGCTTAAGGTATTTTCCCTGATTTCTTCATGCATGTGTACAAACACATACTCACATACTCTGAAGCTAACTATTCTCATTCCTATAAGTAAAATACATTTTTGTGAACAAGCATCCTTAAAACTTTTATGTTACTATCTAGAAATAAACCTGTACTTCTGAAATAAAATATAAGGTATATTATATAGCACATGTAAAAACTACAGATTTTCAAAGAAAGAGTAAAAAAAAAATTAATAGAAGTTATAATTTTTTTTCCATACTCATGTAGCATTGTGTGTATCCCCATGATGTGTGTACTTCATTTTGGAAGTTACATAGTAGACTCATCTTTACTGATATACTTTAGTGAGCTCTGCTACAATGGATAGGAGCTTTGGTGGTGGTTTAGTTTTTGCTATGATGGATTTTTTCTTTTTTAAATATTAGCTTTTTAAATTTAAAAACTTTCTCTATTAGCTTTTCTGATAAAGAGATGGTAAAGATTTTAAAGAATTTAGGAATTTAGCATTTGTTTTAAACTGGCTTTAAATGATACCTGGCACTACTTTCCTTGAAGAAAAGTAGTAGGTTTTTCATGTTGTATATTAACATTACAAAGTATAACAAATAAAGACCACTTAAAGTTTATGTTGTTGTTGTTGTTGTTGTTATGTACTATGGAGTCAGCCCTGACTCATAGTGACCCCTCCTTGGGTTTTGAGGCAGTATCACTATCCAACTAGATTGCCCAACCATCCTTCCCAGGAGTGGCTGGTGGGTTTGAACCTCCAGCCTTCTGGTTAGCAGTAAAGTGCTTTAGGCACTGTGTTACCCGAGCTCCCCTTAAAGCTTATAGCTTATGTTATGCTTCACGTTGTGTTCTAAAAGGCAGGATATTATCTTAATTGATTACCATTAGTCATGCTTGTCTTATGTAGATGCTTTTCTTTTAAATATTAAAATAGAGTCCTTAAAAAAATGTCTAGTAGGAATATGAAGTTGTATATCATAAACTTAAACAAGGGAACTTTCTGGAGTAATGAAAATGCTTTATTTCTCAACAAGGGTATGGGATATACAGGTATATGCCTTTTCCAAAACTGATTAAACAGTACACTTAAAATCTGTGCATTTTACTCTATGAAAATGAATCCTAAATTAATAATAATAATAATAAAAACTTGGTTCCAAACTTTTCTCAGCTCAGTACTACTTAAAAAATAATTAGAACTGTTACTCAACATGCTACGTTTCCCTCCCCTGCTGTTATCTCCAACCTTCTGCATCCTCCCAGCTTTAACTATTATTATCATAGCTTACACCATTAATTAGGAGCTCTGGTAGCTTAGTGCCTAAGGCACTTGGCTGCTAACCAGAAGGTTGGCAGTTCAAACCC